TGCCTCCTGGAGGGTACCCGAGAAACTTCCCATTGTACTTAGTTTCAAAAGTTTTAGTTTTCAAATAGGCACAAAAAGCAAACACTAGGAAATGCGCATGGTTTTGTGAGGGAGAACCACTGCTTCACAGTGTTGTACTTAATTATCGCCACCTAAAATCGTTTAGATGAGAGCAGTTTAATTTTTGCCAGGAGAGACGGAGGACGTGTGCGTTTTTCGACAATGAAATATTTTTTCAACCTTCCAGTTTTCTCTTCAGACCATTTGTCGTGTTCTAACTTCACCGCGATTCAGTAGCAGTAAACAATAGCCCACACCGCTCTCATCTATTTAGCGCTCTCACTTACATTTTGTTTTCAAGGTATACTTGAATACACAACCATTCGCACATTTTGCAACACCACCATTTAAGGAAAACATCCATAGTGCATTTGCAGGGGTCGCGTGACTTAAATATTATACATTTTATGCAATAGTATGTAGTCAAAAGTAGTCGCCGAAATGATTTTCCGCACATTACTATTCGTTCCTCCAGCGGTCGCTTCAAATTTTTGCTAATTTTACCTTCCGATTGAGTTTTTAAATTTTTGGATCTAATTTAACTAAGAGCTCACAAAATGGTCTACAGTGAAACAGCTCTGGTTAGCAATTTATCAAGACTGTCTATATGAGATTCTATCGTATACATCTAGATATATAACCACATAGATAAATCAAGATCAAATAAACTTTTTGATTATACATATGAGACAGAAAATGGTCATGCTTTCTAAAACAATCAGCTAACACGTCATGTGAGAGCTGAGTGCAGTCGTCACAGTCACGCGTCACTCTCAAGGCGAAACTACAGGGGTGGCCAAAAAAAGAGACACTTAGCCCATGGCGCACATCATCGAACTTTTCGTCGCACAGGGAGCCGATGTTAATGAAAGTTTTACGGCGGAATATTCCTTAGGTGTTCCCCGTAAACAGAAGCAGGCCCTCCTTCACTGCCCCCGCCGTCTTCAGAATATGACGTCATCTGCCGTCACCGTCGAGCTCAACGAGGCTTACCGTAATCGCTCCGGCCTGAAGCTGCTACATAATTTCTTCAATGGATTAACTGTTGAATAGCTTCCAGAGACATTAGCTGTGACTATGCAAAACCGCTTTTGACCAGCGTTTCAGAGACGTCGTAATCGTCTATGACTCAGCCCTCGTTGAGCTCGTACCGTGCACAATGCTTCAGTGGGAAAATCTTCTGATGTCGTCGGTGTAGAAGGCTGTTGTGTAGCTTGCTGATAGATTATAACGTGCTCTTCAATATCAGTTGGGGTCATTTGGTTTGGTTTCGCGACGCGTAAATAATTCCGTTTTGAATGTGAAGTGTCTCTTTTTTTTGGCCCACCCCTGTACAATAAAAATCCATATCGAACTAGCAACATTGGATAACCAACCTGTAACGCATAGTAGTTGATGACCAAAAGGTGAAACAAGTTGATAAAAAAAAGATAGTTGTGATAATAACTCAGGTGTCCTGTGAATGACAAACAAAGTTTGTACTGGGGCTGTACAGTCCTCTCATGTATTTGGTATGTAACGGAAAGCCTTTTTCGCTCTTTTCTATCTCCCGTGAGATCCGGGCAGTATGTGACAATTATTCAGTAAAAAAAAACTTGACAGTTGATTGTGTTTGGCTGAGTTTTGCGATAACCGTGTGCGTTCAACGCTTCTTTTGAATTTTGGAAATCGACCCTTTTATTAAAATTAATCTACCGCGAGACGTCGAGCGTTTTCCCCCAAATTGGAGAAACCTGTGTATGCTTTCTTCGTGCCGTCCTATCAAATTCCCAGCTCAAGCGCTTTGAAGATAAGTCCTGAAGTCTACAGGGTGGCTACTAAATATTGGCGCATGGTTTATTGATCATATTTCCAAAAAGAGAAACTATCATATCTTCGGAAGTTTATTTTCATATACAATAAAACATGTAAATTTATTCCCAAAGAAAGTGCTCGAGATGGCCTCCTTTGGTAGCGATACAGGCTTGAAGTCTCTTTTCAAACTGACATCACCGTGGGCCGCAAGTAGCTGACCAGGCTCCCGCCATGACGTGAGTCACATCTTCAGGCCAGAAAAGGCGCACGATTTGCAAAACGACATGCATTTGTTGGATCTGGCTAGCAGACATTCTGCTCGACCATGTGTACACACAAGAAACCGTTTTTCAAATTTGTCATGGTTTGGGCAGGACTTACTTCTGTAACCAGCACTGGATGAATACCATCAAAGCCAGCGCCCAGATCTATACGGAAACAATTTTCACGTATGCTCTTCTTTCCAAGGACTCTTTTGACCTTCAGCGAACGTCATTGCATTCTTCAGCAAGACAGGGCGCCTCCACATGCCGCAAAATCAATGTTGGAGAACTGTGACCGTCATTTTCCAAGTTACCAGGCACAAAATGTTTGGCCATCTAAGTCGCCCGATTTGAACCAATTGATTTGGCGGTGTGGGGTTTCTTGAAGCAGAAGATGCCTTCTGAGCAACGTCGAAGTTTGGACTCCCTGAAGGCTTCCTTGGAGGAGGCGTGGAAGGAGCTTGACGTCAGCTACTTGCGGCCCACAGTGATGTCAGTTGAAAGAGACTTCAAGCCTGTATCGCTACCAAAGAAGGCCATCTCGAGCACTTTCTTCAGCAATGTACTGCCATGTTATAAGGTATATAAAGATAAACCTCTGAAGATGTAAAAGCTTCTCGTTTTAAAATATGGTCAACAATCCATGCGCCAATATTTAGTAGCCACCCTGTATTCATAGAATCTATACAGTTCGAATACACGATCGATATTGTTTCTTTTTTAGTCCACTTTTCAACCATTTCATCAAATACAAAGGTCTCTGAACTCTCCATTCGTTTCACCAGGATTCGGAAGCCTTCCAAAATAAATCATTGAGATGCCTGGAGATGGCATCTGTTTTCAAAAGTTTTATAGTTTATGTTCATGTAATCCAGCTGTTCTATCCAAAGATTGGAAAATTCCTTGCAAACTTCAATTTAGCCGTTTTCTCTTTCCATTTTTGCATTTTCTAGTCCCGTCGACTCTATTCGTACCTTATCCTGGTGCTGCAATATGTGGTGCCACTCACGGTGTTAATCATCACCTATACATTCATTGGAATGAAAATGTGGAACAGTCGAATTCCTGGACCAACGAGTTTGACGACGAAGAAGGTGGTGATGGAGCGGCACGAAAGTGTGAAAAAGGTACGTATCCGTGTTCTGTGAGTCTCCTGTTGCTACGATCATACTCTTTCAGTTGATTCCAATGGTGATTCTTATCTCGGCCATGTTTGCCTTCTGTTGGCTGCCTCTTTTGCTTCTCATCAACGTGGTCATCGATCTTTGGCCAAGTGTGGCCAGCTGGAAATTCATCTTTATATATGGTAAGTAACGTCTCCATTACTCGTCCATTACCTCTAACAATAAGGTCTCTACTATGGAAACGAATAAATTTTGAAGCGGGGTAGGCGATGAAAATTCAACCAAACAAGCGAAGAGCTCAGACCGCAACTCCCCTTCCCTTCGATTCACTCGACATCGGTCCCTTATCAAATGCCTGAAGAAATCTGGAATCAACTCCGTTGTCCGTCCATATCTTTTATATTTTCTGCCCTTCACGCCAGCAGAAAACTATAAAGCATTTTTGACCTCTTTATCAACCGGAAAAGGCACCATCAAAGACATGAGATCGGCGCTCTCATACGTGATTGCATAACCTAGAGATTGAATTGTACTAGATTTATTAGTCGAGTAGTGTAAATTCACCCTCGCTCTGTTCGCTTCTCATTCTCCTACAACGTAGAGCACCAAAACAGATGTTTTGGCACAACCTCAACCTCGCTGTGAAAGCCGCAGTCTAAGAAGCGTTTTAGGTGCGTAATGTTGCGATTGGTATATAGGGGCGTGGTCAGAAAAAAGCCAATTTTGCCCACGGCGCACTTCGGCCTTTTTTCGCAGAGACTCGCGCTGACGGAAGTTCCTTCAGCAAAATATTCCCTAAATGTCCCTCTATAAGTACACGCAGGCCCTCCTTCACTACCCTCACCGTCTTCAGAATATGACGTCATCTGTCACCGTCGTCGAGCTCAGGGAGGCCTACAGTAACTGCTTCATCCTGAAGCTCTTACATAATTTTAAGCTCTAACTATGCAAACCCCCTCGGAACCCGCCCTTCGGAACCCGTCGTAACGGTACACGATCAGTCGAGAACCCCATTGAGCTCGACCAGAGCACCATGTTTCCGGGCAAACTTTTCTGATGCCGTCCACGTAGATGGCCACTATGAAGATTTTCTTATGAAATGAAATGCGCTCTTCAATTCTAAGTTGGGAGCACACGCTTTGAGCTGAGCAAAGTGTGATTAAATCCATTTGAGTCTGGAGACAAAATGTCTTTTTTTTATTGCCCCCCCCTGTATATGCAGCATGGAAGTGTTACGTGCGATAGGGCTAAAAATCGTTTTTGTACCCCGTCTCCAACTGTCTTATTATTTTGCAAATAGTGGCACTGTTCGATTTTCATTATAATATATTATCTTTCGAGGCTGCTGTACACATAATTTTTTCTTATATAAGGGCCTATCAATCAAGTATGGTATTTGTTCAAGCTATTCGGTATCTAGCAATTCTGACTCCTTCTTGGGTGCTGGCTCTACATTGTCGGAGGTCTAACGGTGCAAACATGAGAGTCCTATACATATGCTGCTTTGATGGGATTTTCTGCTTTTTTGCACGGCGCTTCGTTACGTGCCATCCTCACTTTCTTTTATACAATATCCAAACTTATCGTAATCCCTCGCTTTATCGTGAGCTGCAACATTCATACTCGGAGGAGGATATGTTTATCATGTGCAGCTGACATCTTCTTCTAAGTATTGTGGCTGAACGACTAGGCTACTAAAGGTTCTTCTGCAAAAACATGATAGATGGATAGATGACGTCAACAATGCAAATGGCTAAGAAATACGATTAGCTTACGATTCGTTACACATTCGAAGACTATGCCCAGCAAAATCACTCGATAGTCAGTCAACACTACATACAGCACATATCGCGCTAGGTTGTTTTTGAAGTGTAGCGAAATATGAAAATCTCGAGAAGCTCCTTTCAAAGGGCGTTTGAAACAGGGTGAGCCACATCTAGGTTTTCCGGGGCAGACGTGGGTCGTACAATGTTTCAGGAAGGTATGGCATTTGACAAATTGACAAAGGACCTTTGAAAGTTGCTATGAATGGTACCAAGTTTTAATGCAAGAATTTGTCGGCAGAGATAATATTTTAGAAATCTATCAGGCAAGCTCCGGTTTATAACTAGAATTCCGGGATTACTTCTTTTTCATTACAGCTTCACTCAACATAATCTTCGGGAATATAAATTTGGGACAACTGCTCTGTCAATATATTCCTGGGCTACGTGGACACGCTGCTCAAATTTGGTTCATTGGTGTATCAATGCGAAATCCGAGTGTGAAGATGCGAGAAAGAAGTACTCATTTTGAGTATTCGATGAGATTATCCTACTATATATAATTCGCTAAGTATGTCTGTGTGTGTGTGTGTAGGTCTGTGTGTGTGTGTGTTTGTCACGAAATTCGTAGCTCGGGTCACAGCAACGATAGCGCCATGGTTCTTACATATGTTATAGGGGGTGGGATGGGGACTCAAGTGGTACGTGATAGGAACTGATAACGACTGATAATAGCTGATAAGAGGGGCTAGAAAGCGAGCATCGCCAATTTCGTTTTGTCGTTCATATTATTATTAACTAGAGCGTCCATACTCGCAGGTGTCATGTGGGGTGGGACGGGGACATTGTTGGTAGGTGATGGAAAGTGGTTACAACTGATAAGGGCTGATAAGGGGCGTCAGAACGCAAAAGTCGTCGATTCCGTTACGCAGCTTGCGTTGACACTACAGCGTCCATACTCGCAGGTGTCATGTGGGGTGGGACGGGGACATTGTTGGTAGGTGATGGAAAGTGGTTACAACTGATAAGGGCTGATAAGGGGCGTCAGAACGCAAAAGTCGTCGATTCCGTTACGCAGCTTGCGTTGACACTACAGCGTCCATACTCGCAGGTGTCATGTGGGGTGGGACGGGGACATTGTTGGTAGGTGATGGAAAGTGGTTACAACTGATAAGGGCTGATAAGGGGCGTCAGAACGCAAAAGTCGTCGATTCCGTTACGCAGCTTGCGTTGACACTACAGCGTCCATACTCGCAGGTGTCATGTGGGGTGGGACGGGGACATTGTTGGTAGTTGGTGGTAATGCGATGAAAGCGATAGCAACTGATAAGGGCTGATAAGGGGTCAGAACGCAAAAGTCGTCGATTCCGTTACGCAGCTTGCGTTGACACTACAGCGTCCATACTCGCAGGTGTCATGTGGGGTGGGACGGGGACATTGTTGGTAGGTGATGGAAAGTGGTTACAACTGATAAAGGCTGATAAGGCGCGTCAGAACGCAGAAGTCGTCGATTCCGTTACGAGGCTTGCGCTGACACTAGAGCTTCCCTACTTACAAATTCTATTTGTAGTGGACTTTGTACGTGCACACTGTGGTATGTGTGTCATTTTGTATGACCTGCCTACTTAATAGCAGTCTATTGCATGAACTCAATCAAGTCTTCAGCAAATGATAACTTTCATTCCTATCAAGAAAGCCCAAACTCATTAAACCGCTAATCCTTTCGGGGTTCTAAATAATGGTGAATGTAAATAAATGATAAGCCTTAGCTCTTCACTTATGTAAACAGGCATATTTCATTCTCCTTTCGAAACTGACAGCAAAAGATTCACCGCTAAATTATCTGAATGCAGGAAGAATGGTGGATGTTTACAGTTGTGAGATAAATATGCCAGTTCAGCTCCAGACGTTATCACGCGTATTTTCGATGGACTTCAGCGGAACTGGGAAAAGTCTACCACATTCAATAGTGAGGTGGCTAATGGAGGGCCTCATGCTGATATTCCATGGGTCTTTCAGTTTCACTAAAGCCTGCCGTGTGATGCGCGCGATAGCGGGCGGAGCAAAACTGGTTGATATAGCCGGATGAACCCTGCATCAGTCAAACCATTTTGGGATCTGCCTCGCATCCTAAAATGTCTCCATTTTAAGTCGTAGTAATTCCAATTTTCAACGCATTTGACTGTATTGATATAGGTGGGCAAAAGGTTGGCGTTACGCTCACCAATACTTCGGTTTTATGTGTATTTCGGGATAAACAGATAAACATTGATTTAGATCTCTTTTAAAACAATTGCCAACATAAAAGGATAAAGGATAAAGCATTTGCCGTTGATCAATCCCTTTTTGGGATGCGGCACGCATTCTACTTCCATTTGTACATTCGCAGTGGCATTTGAATGCGATGTGGCCTATACAATGACTTGCGGGGGCCAGCCGATGTACAAGTCAGCGGTCAGTGTTTTTTTTATCCTCCCAGACAAGTCTGGTACCAATTAACCGACCCCGGAGGGATGGAAGGCTTGGGTTGGCCCGGGCGACTCACGACCCAGGATTTGATCCCCGGACCCGCTCGCGTGGTGAGCGCGCCACTTGTCACTACACCACTTCCGCCCTTGAATTGTAAAAAAAGGAAAGAAAATCATGAA